GTATGGCAAAACTGCGAGCTCCCGAGGACGTCTGCGCCGGAGTGGCGTCTGGCACCGGGCACGGAAGCTCGCACTCGGCCGCACGCGATAGTGCTGCCGCGAGAACGCCAGCCATGTACGATATATCTCGTGTACACTCCTCCTGGGTCATGGTCGGTCATATGCAGGACGGCCAGAGTCGCCCACATCGCCTACGCGGTCCCGAGTGTGGTCAGACTGATACACCGCGACTCAACGGTTGAGTGCGGCCAGCGCACACAAACGTCGTCGACTGCGGCCTGGCGCGGTGATCATAGGTGCTGGAGACCAGGCAGTATGGGCCTGCAACCTGGCCACGCATGAACTCGGTACCTACATTCGCAGAGGCCCGGCAAGGATGGGATCTAGTAGAGTGATTGCGCGCTGAGACCGTACTCCGTGGGTCGCTGGAATGACCTGTAGGGAAGTTCAGTGCCGCTGCTCGACTCTCCAGTGTCACAGCCGATGCCTGTGACCTGGCCACCGCCGCACGGTGCTTGAAATCGGCGCCTCCTCGGGTGTGCCCTCATAGACAGTCTTCGGCGGCCGTAGTCGACGCGAGAGCTTCCCTGCACAGACGTCTACTGTGAACCACCGACGAATAGAGCACAGGTTTTTGGCCACGAGATCCGCCTTCGAGGTCGAGCCGAGGCTGCCGGCGTCGTCTCTGCTGCTCTGGGCATCACCTGCACAAGCCAAGCAGACTTTGTTGCAAAAGCGTAGGCGGGTCGACGCGCCGTGTGTTGGGTTCCCATCTCGGCGCGCGCGAGTCCAGGCCGAACCGACTAGCTGCCGCCGCAGCGACTGCGGCTGGGCTGCAGGCAAACCTGTAGCAGGCGCTCGGCACGCTGTCCGGAGGCGCTGTGGCTCACAGGGCGAGCGCCTGTGGCTCGCGAAAAAAGGCGAGAGAGGGGTTTCACAAATCCGAATGGTTTCACATTTCTTCCACCCCTCCCTACTCGAGTACCGTAGGGTACCGAACTTAAGGTAAGGTAGCTTGAGTTAGGGAGCCCCTTTCCTCTTACCGAACTCCTGTTGTAATGTACCTAACTCCTGCTACCCACCTCTCGGTCCAGCCGGACCGGCACACGGGCCACGCGGCCCGCACACCACTCTGAGGGACTGAGGCATCGCTCCCTCCTACGCTACGACCTACGAGCACCTACGCCCGACTACGAGTGCCTACGCTACTAGATGCCCTACTCCTCCTCCTCCTCCTCCTCCTCCTCCTCCTCCTCCTCCCCCTCCTCCTCCTCCTCACTCGCCGCACCCTCGTCGTACCAGCGAGGGCGCCGGTACCAAAAAAGAAATCCCCGGTACCTAACTGCTGCTACCCCGTACCTAACTCAGTGCAAAGCACCTAACCTAACTCAAGCTACCTTACCTTAAGTTCGGTACCGATTGATTGATTGATGGGAAGGCGAAACACAGTCCGACCAACGACTGGGACACCAACGCGGTATGGGTGGACGCTAGACAGGCGATGACGGTCACACAGGAGCGACACACAGAACCACAAGACAAGACACTCAGCCAAACTGACTGCCACACATCCTGAGCGAACCCTACGGTATTTCGAGGTAAGCCCTGTCACCCGTCCCTCCCTCGCAAATCGGCGAGGCCAGCGCCGAACAAATGGGTTCGTCGAGCTCCTGCTGCTCGGCCCAGCCGAAGGCGGCTTCAGCGAGAGGAAACCCAAAGTCAAGGGCTCCGCCAAAGGCACCGCCAAAGGCTGCACCAAAGGCTGCACCAAAGGCTGCACCAAAGGCGAGCCCGACGGCTGCACCAAAGGCTGCACCAAAGGCGAGCCCGACGGCAAGAGCCCCGACAGTGGCGCCCCCGCCATCGTCAGTGCCACCGTCAAAGGCTTCGTCATTCGACCGCCTCGTCGTGTTCAGCAGCGATACGCCGGACAAGGATGACTTTGTTGGCTGCCTGAAGCCGACGGTGCTCGCTGTGGAGTACGATTTTGACACGGCGACAGCCGGCAGCATTATCGGCCTCATCAAGGCCGCCTCCCGCAGTCTCGGCAAGGGCAATGCGTTTACGTCCATCGCGCTCGCCAACCATGGCCCACCCGTCGATGACGAGGTGGAAGGAATGGGCTGGAAGATTAGCAACAAGGTTATCCTCGACTCCCCAAAGGACTTGGACGATCCAACGCACGGCGTCACGCGGGTGATGATGGCGCTTGGCGACGCCGTGTGCGAGGGTGGCCGCGTCGACCTCTTTGCCTGCAACTTGCTCAGCCACGAAGACGGGATGGCGGCGCTGTCTGCAATCGAGGAAGTCACACAGACCAACTTTGCGGGTTCGACTGACCTCACTGGGAACCCCAAGGACGGCGGTGACTGGATCATGGAGAGTGACAACGTGGACGTCGCTGACCTGTGAGTTTGCCCAAGAGATTGACGACGTAGACCGGCGGCTGAAGCGCACGGCGTTGGTCGTCATCCAGCACTGACGGTGCCCACAGGTACTTTCAGAGGGAGAAGCTCGCTCGCGACTTTGACGGGACTTTTCATAACTGTGAGAGCTACGCGGGCGGCACTGGCCTGCTGCAGCGCCGTCTGAGCGATCTCTCTGCCCCTTTTTGCAGTTACTATCGAGGAGCTCCAGGCTATTCAGCGCAAGCCGACCAACATCCGGAACATGTCCGTGATCGCGCACGTCGATCACGGCAAGTCGACCCTCACCGACTCGCTCGTCGCCGCGGCGGGCATCATCGCGGCGTCGGCGGCTGGCGACACGCGCCTGACCGACACGCGTCAGGACGAGCAGGACCGTTGCATCACCATCAAGTCCACCGGCATCTCGCTCTTCTTCAAGGCGGAGGAGCGCTACAAGCTCCCCCCCGACTCGAACGGCAACGAGTTTCTGATCAACCTCCTCGGCGCGTTTGCCCGCTCCCTTGCCCCCTCGCCGCAGCCGCTCACCTCGCCCCTTCCGCACTCCCGCGCGGCGTAGACTCGCCGGGCCACGTTGACTTCTCGTCCGAGGTCACCGCCGCGCTCCGCGTCACCGACGGCGCGCTCGTCGTCGTCGATTGCGTCGAGGGCGTCTGCGTGCAGACCGAGACGGTGCTGCGCCAGGCCCTCGGCGAGCGCATCAAGCCGGTCTTGACCATCAACAAGCTGGACCGCGCGTTCCTCGAGCTGCAGCTGTCGTCGGAGGAGATGTACCTGGAATTCAGACAACACATCGCTAACATCAACGTCCTCGTCGCCACGTACAACGACGAAGAGCTTGGCGACTGCCAGGTCGACCCGACCAAGGGCACCGTCGCCTTCTCGGCCGGCCTGCACGGCTGGGCCTTCACGCTCACCAAGTTCGCGCGCATGTACGCCAAGAAGTTCGGCGTCGACGTGGACAAGATGATGACCCGCCTCTGGGGCGACAAGTACTTCAACCCCAAGGAGAAGAAGTGGATCAATACGGCGGGCGGCGACGCGCCCAAGGGCCTCGAGCGCGCCTTCTGCATGTTCTGCATGACGCCCATCTCCAAGGTCTTCACCAACTGCATGGACGAGAAGTACGACGCCGTCACCAAGATGCTCTGCGCCGTCGGCGTCACGCTGACCAAGGACGACCTGGAGCTGCGCCAGAAGCCGCTCCTCAAGCGCTGCATGCAGAAGTGGCTGCCGGCGCACGACGCGCTGCTCGAGATGATAGTGCAGCACCTGCCGTCGCCCGTCACGGCGCAGAAGTACCGCGCCGAGGCGCTCTACACGGGCCCGTCGGACGACATCTGGTGCAAAGGCATCCGCGAGTGCGCCGCCGACGGCCCCCTCGTCATGTACATCTCCAAGATGATCCCGACGCCCGACAAGGGCCGCTTCTTCGGCGCGCGCCCCTCTAGGGAGGAGCCGCGCCCCTCTAGGGACGAGCCGTGACTCGCACGCGAGTAGACGCCGCACACTCTGGCGCCGCGGCCCTCGCTCCGCACTGAGCCCGCGAGTGCGTCGGGCACTCAGAGACGCGCGCCCTCACCGCCCCTCGCCCCGCCCGCAGCCTTCGGCCGCGTCTTCTCGGGCACCGTGCGCACGGGTGCCAAGGTCAAGATCATGGGCCCCAACTACGTGCAGGGCAAGAAGGAGGACCTCTTCATCAAGAACGTGCAGCGCACCATCCTCATGATGGGCCGCAAGACCGAGGCCGTCGAATCCGTCACCGCGGGCAACACGTGCGCGCTCGTGGGCATCGACCAGTACATTGTCAAGTCGGGCACCATCGCCGCCGCGGACGCGACCGAGTCGCACCCGATCGTGACGATGAAGTACTCCGTCTCGCCGGTCGTGCGCGTCGCCGTGGCGCCGAAGAACCCCAACGACCTGCCCAAGCTGGTCGAGGGCCTCAAGCGGCTCGCAAAGTCGGACCCGCTCGTCGTTTGCTCCATGGAGGAGTCGGGCGAGCACATCATCGCGGGCTGCGGCGAGCTGCACATCGAGATCTGCCTCAAGGACCTGCAGGAGGACTTCATGAACGGCGCGCCCATCAGCATCTCCGACCCCGTCGTCTCGTACCGCGAGACCGTCACCGACGAGTCGTCGCGCACCGTCCTCTCCAAGTCGCCCAACAAGCACAACCGCCTCTACTGCTATGCGCAGCCGCTCGGCTACGCAGACGACGATTACCAGACGCCGCTCGCGGACTCCATCGAGGAGGGCGAGGTCTCGGCGGGCATGGACCGCAAGGCGCGCACGCGCGTGCTCTGCGACAAGTTCGGCTGGGACAGGCAGACGGCGCAGAAGATCTGGTGCTTTGGCCCCGACGGCACCGGCCCTAACCTCGTGGTGGACGTGACGGTGGGCCGTGCAGTACCTGAACGAGATTAAGGACTCTGTGGGGGCGGGCTCCCAGTGGGTGTGCAAGGAGGGCCCCCTCTGAGAGGAGACGTGCCGCGGCGTGCGCCTCAACATACACGAGGTCGTGCTGCACGCGGACGCCATCCACCGCGGTGGGGGACAGATCATCCCCACCGCGCGCGGCGTGTTCCTCGCCTCGAAGATGAGTGCTCAGCCCCGCCTCATGGGGCCCCCCCCCTTTTCCTCCCTCTCCCCCCCCCTTCTCTCTCTCTCTCTCTCTCTCTCTCTCTCTCTCTCTCTCTCTCTCTGTCTCTCTCTCTCTCTTCCTCTCCCTCTCCATCTCTCCCCTCACACACACACACACACACACACACACACACACACACACACACACACACACACACACACACACACACACACACACACACACACACACACACACACACACACACACACACACACACACACACACCGCACGCGCCGCTACCGCCGTCGCTGTACGTTGCCCCGTTGGGCCGTCGCCCGGTGGTTTACGAGTGCTTCTTCGCCTCGGCCGCCGCAGGAGCCGGTCTTCATGGTGGAGATCCAGTGCCCCGAGAACGCCATGGGCGGCGTCTACTCGTCGCTCAACCGCAAGCGCGGCACCGTCGTCGAGGAGACCAAACGCCCGGGCACGCCGCTGTACAACGTCAAGGCGTACCTGCCCGTCGCCGAGTCGTTCGGCTTCACCGGCTTCCTGCGCCAGGAAACCGCGGGCCAGGCCTTCCCGCAGATGGTCTTCCACCACTGGGAGACGATGAACGGCGACCCGTTCCCGGGCGGCGACGAGAAAGTCGGGGAGATCGTCCTCGCTGCGCGCAAGCGCAAGGGCCTCAAGGAGTACATCCCGCCGCTCTCGGAGTTCGAGGACAAGCTGTAAGCTCGGCTCGGCACCACCAGCCGAGGAGCAGCTGGCGCCTTCGCGCTCGGCGCGCTCGCAGGGCATCTGCACGCTCGCAGGGCGCCCGCCCCGACGCAGATAGAGCCCCCGCGAGAGGCGCCACGCTGGTCCGCCACCGGCGCCTCTTTGCTTGGACCACCGCATGCCAATCTCGCCAGAGGTAGCGATTGAATCGTCGCCAACGTGTGTGCGACCTGTTTGGATTGTACTGAATGACGGCCGAGCCTCGAACGTAGTGCTAAACGTTGATAGATGGACATAATCCATGGCACCGCCTGATTGATAAATTGCGCGGTTTCACGCCACCCCGAGGCCTACCCCGGGAGTGCGGGCGGTGGACGCGTCTTGGCCTGGCGGGCGCTCGCGCTAAGAAATCACCGGCGTGCCAATTTCGAGACCCGCGGGCGCTCAACCACGCAATGCTTGGACCGCTCACGGTCGCCTTTGCGTCGACGGTCGCGGCATCGGCCGCGCCTGCCCGGGACCTCCTTTTCGGGGCGCCAACCGGCACGGGCTCGGGCGGGATATCTGCGGGTATTGGATGGAAGGCTGTGCGCCGCGCTCCCCTCCCCGCCCCTCCCCCGACACAGCCGGAACCGACACCGACATGAAACGTGGACTCTGCAGCGACCAGACGAACAGCAACGAATTCAAGCTCGACCCTCCCACACCCAGAATACAGCTCGCCATCGCTGACCACCCCACCGCTGCCAGCGCCGCCATAAGGACACTCTCGCATCAGCTCAGAGCATGGCCCGCAAGCACACAAGTGCCCGCACGGAACCGCAGCATGCGACTTGACTCTCGCGA